GCTCAGATGGTTCACAAGACCCCCGGTGCTCAGATGGTTCACAAGACCCCCGGTGCTCAGGTGGTTCACAAGACCCCGGTGCTCAGATGGTTCACAGACCCCCGGTGCTCAGATGGTTCACAAGTCTCCCGGTGCTCAGATGGTTCACAAGTCTCCCGGTGCTCAGGTGGTTCACAAGACCCCCGGTGCTCAGATGGTTCACAAGACCCCCGGTGCTCAGATGGTTCACAAGACCCCCGGTGCTCAGATGGTTCACAAGACCCCCGGTGCTCAGATGGTTCACAAGACCACTGGTGCTCAGATGGTTCACAAGACCACTGGTGCTCAGATGGTTCACAAGACCACCGGTGCTCAGGTGGTTCACAGTACCCCCGGTGCTCAGATGGTTCACAAGACCCCCGGTGCTCAGATGGTTCACAAGACCCCCGGTGCTCAGATGGTTCACAAGACCCCGGTACTCAGATGGTTCACAAGACCCCCGGTGCTCAGATGGTTCACAAGACCCCCGGTGCTCAGATGGTTCACAAGACCCCCGGTGCTCAGATGGTCCACAAGTCTCCCGGTGCTCAGATGGTTCACAAGACCCCCGGTGCTCAGATGGTTCACAAGACCCCCGGTGCTCAGATGGTTCACAAGACCCCCGGTGCTCAGATGGTTCACAAGACCACCGGTGCTCAGATGGTTCACAAGACCACCGGTGCTCAGATGGTTCACAAGACCCCCGGTGCTCAGATGGTTCACAAGACCCCCGGTGCTCAGATGGTTCACAAGACCCCCGGTGCTCAGATGGTTCACAAGACCCCCGGTGCTCAGATGGTTCACAAGACCCCCGGTGCTCAGATGGTTCACAAGACCCCCGGTGCTCAGATGGTTCACAAGACCCCCGGTGCTCAGGTGGTTCACAAGACCCCCGGTGCTCAGATGGTTCACAAGACCCCGGTGCTCAGATGGTTCACAAGACCCCCGGTGCTCAGATGGTTCACAAGACCCCGGTGCTCAGATGGTTCACAAGACCCCCGGTGCTCAGGTGGTTCACAAGACCCCCGGTGCTCAGATGGTTCACAAGACCCCGGTGCTCAGATGGTTCACAAGACCACCGGTGCTCAGATGGTTCACAAGACCCCCGGTGCTCAGATGGTTCACAAGACCACCGGTGCTCAGATGGTTCACAAGACCCCCGGTGCTCAGATGGTTCACAAGACCCCCGGTGCTCAGATGGTTCACAAGACCCCCGGTGCTCAGATGGTTCACAAGACCCCGGTGCTCAGATGGTTCACAAGACCACCGGTGCTCAGATGGTTCACAAGACCCCCGGTGCTCAGATGGTTCACAAGACCCCCGGTGCTCAGATGGTTCACAAGACCCCTGGTGCTCAGATGGTTCACAAGACCCCCGGTGCTCAGATGGTTCACAAGACCCCCGGTGCTCAGGTGGTTCTTTCTTTCGAGTTTCTTTCACCCTATGCCCCTGTTACCTAGCAGTAAAATAGGTACCTGGGTGTTAGTCAGCTGTCACGGGCTGCTTCCTGGGGGTGGAGGCCTGGTCGAGGACCGGGCCGCGGGGACACTAAAGCTCCGAAATCATCTCAAGATAACCTCAAGATAACCCGGTTATCCAGAACTGCAGTTTTAACATCAAGCGGTGAGGTAGTGTACAGTCATTTACTATGCAAAGGAGATAACTATGGTAGATATATATTTGTTCTATTCACAAATGATCTTAAGCCTCCATTTATCCATTTATAATCGTGGCAGTGTGCGGAATCCATAATATGATAATTAATTTTTTTTAACAATCTTAGAAACTGAATTATAACCAATAAACTCGACAAATATTATCTAATCATTGCCGACGACCTTGACATAGTTCTGTGTCAACAGATGGCCCTCAAGTAGACAGTTCCTTATCTCTATAAACTCCTGCCTGCATGATAATACCCACAATAACTACATCCATGAGAATTGTGAATTTCTGTGGCGCAGTGGTAAAACACTCGCCTTGCGCTTCGCGAGCTATTTGGCCTGAGTTCGTATTCTGGCCGGGGAGGATTAATTAGGCACCAATCCTTGACTGTTACCTCTGTTCACCCAGCAGTGAATGGGTACCTGGTTGATAAATGAAATGGCGGGTCGTATTCCAAGAAAAACTAAAATTAAGGACCTGCCCAAAACGCTATGCGTGCTAGTGGCTTTACAAGAATGTAAGAACTCTTGTATATATACATTAAACAAAAAATATTACTGATATCTGCGTCAAGTGACTCAACCTACGACCACATCTGATCACTATCCCACTATAATGATCACTGTACCTTTCTTATAACAAACATCAATAACGCACACGTTTCAAAGACGTGTAGTGGGGTCAACTTCGACGTTGAGAAGGTCATCGGCTCCGGTTCCGTCTTGGGGCGTCGGAAAACAGGTTGTGATTATTACCTGTTGGGTCTCTGTAGTGTTGTGAGACATTCCTCCAAAAAGCTGGAGAGAGGCACCAGCACTGTCTTGGTCAAGAAGTGCAAGAATAATAGAGGTAATCTGGGATGTGCTCGGGACGCGGTGGGCGTTTTGTTCTTGCTCTGGCCCGGGAATTATTGGAAGATGCTGCTGCATTTTTGCTCAACTAGTTGAAATTATGGAGTTCGAGTAGATTAACAAGAAATTTTGCAGCACTTTCCGGGTAACCCCAGGTAGAGCAGGAATCAGACGTCCTCCCAGTACAAACGCTGAACCAGAAATCAATGGGTGTTAGTGTTGTTGTTTTTGTTGATTTAGAGGCGACAACGACCGTGGGATCGGATCCGCCTCGGCATACCCGTGAAGGGTTAATCGCGAAGCCCGGAAAGGTGAATCGCCAAGCCGAATCGCGAAACGAGTGACGCCAAGCGCTGTAAACTAATATGCCTCGCGGCAAAAAAACGTAGAAAGGCAGATGATTGGGGAGCCTCAGGAGTCCCTCGGGGTGACAAGCACCGGCCCCGCCCCACACAGAGAACACCAGGTAGCAAAACCAAAAACTCGGCCCCCAGCTAAAACGCAAAAGTCATCCAGTGTCCCCCAGCAGAGCTGAAGTCTGCCGCCCACCACGGCTAAGGGCACATCAGGAGCCCACCAAGACCCACCAACTGCACCTGGTGAAGATGGCGTCACCTACGATATACTCAATGCACTGTGTGAAGTGTCTGGGAATCCACTATTCCACCTGTTTAACAAGTCATTCCTAAGTGGAGTGTCGCCCACATAATGGAGACATGCAATAATTGTTCTCATACCGAAGCCCAATGACCCTGGTAATTACAGACCTATCAATCTCATGTCATGCACTTGCAAGATGCTTGAAAGGATCATCCTAAACCGACTGCTGCACAAAATAGGCAGGTTAGGGGAGAGGATCAATGGATTTGTTACAGGACGTAGCACAGCAAACTGTATAGTTAATTACTTGGCTAATGACATGGCTAGGTACTCCTGCCCGAAACGCTTTGCGTAAAAGTGGCTTTAGGCATTGTATGTACTAGCTCTATCTATAAACTCATCAATATTTGTATCACCCCTTGTATGTATATACTTTACCTGAATAAACATTTGACTTTGAATTTGAATTTGTTGACATCAAAGGAGCCTTCGACAAAGCGCAGGGGATTGCGATCCTTGACGAGCTTGCATGCATGGGTGTCAAGGGGAGACTCTTGAAATGGGTTGAAGACTACCTCACAGGAAGGAAGGCCAAAAACTGAGTTCTGTGCTACTTTCAGAGGGAAACAGGAGAAGCAAAAAAAGGCCTCACAGATCAGTCTGCTACCTCGAAGAACTTCACCTGCTTGAGCAAGCCCGTGAGCTCCTGCCTGTAGAGAGGTTACCTCCCTGGGAGGATGACTCATGCAGGATTATCATCAATGAAATAGCAACGAAAAAAATCCAACATACCACAAGAAATGAGGCACAAGTATCTCGAGGAAATTTAATTTTCTCGAGGAAAACTGAGGAAAGGAGGATAGAAGCACAAACCAGTGAATCTGTACGATGGTACAACATGGTTGCAGCTGGCAATCCCAGTCATTATGGACGAAGAGGAGGAGGACGCGCGATAGAATCAGTAATAGCGAGAATCCGTCTTAGATACAAATATCCATGGAGATACGGAATGGAAACAACAGTTGATTAGCGAAGTTGCAGAATCTATGATGAGAGTGACGGACACCGCCTTGACCACTATCTACGTGAATGTGAACACCTGAGAGACATTAGAAATATGTGTAGAATAATAAACCCCACATTGTTTGAGTTAGGAAAACACTATTAGTCAAATATTGTTACTGTCCTTAAAAGATTCCCCCATTTTGCACCTACAAGATAACGTAAGCTTTTAAGGGTTGACAGATGTTAATCTTCTTGTTTGAGGAGCTGATCACCTGAGACAGTTAAGCAAGTCCCAGCTGTGTCTGGGTACAAGTGACAGGATGAACAACCCAGCGAGTTTTCTTTCTTTTGGGGAGTGTTGTAGATGCTGCTATGGCAGTATGTCCACTCACAAGATGAGTGGCGCTGCCCAATAAACTCGCCCCTCGGGGCAAAATTTAATTAAAAAATTTCCCTGCACCTCTCGGCCAAACCGGCGCCGGACACCGTCACCCCCGCCAGGAGAACCAGCCAGAACACGCGAAAAAAAACTATTAACAATCCGGTGACCCAAGACGATATGTACGCCAGGCGTTGTACAACCGGACCGTTTAATACAGATGCCAAACGGCAGCTATCAAATCCAAAATCGCAAAACTAAACGTGATCCGGCGATTCCCAGGCGGAGGAGGCGTCAAGGTTGAATCAGGAGTCCATGGGTGTTAGTGGCTTTGTGGGAATGTACCATTATTATGAATATGTGTATAATTATAATATAATCCCCCTGTAAGTAAAAGAAAACTGTGTACAGAACATCACCATAGAAAATGTAACCGGTACACCTGCCGAAAACGATTCCCTGAAGGGGAAGCTTTTCGGTCGAACATGTATAGTGTTGGGGTGCCCTCGGCGGCCTCCTGCTCCTGCAACACCTTCCCTCCTCCCTCATACTGCTCCTGCAGTACCCTTGCAACTGACGGTAGCCTCGAGGCTTATATCAACCTAGCAGCTGACTAAGGCCACCGCTACCGTACTCCCCAACTAGCCAGCAAACTACATTACAGAAGCGAAGTTAAAATACAAATATAGAGCCAGGATGTACGGAGAGTGAAGGGGGACGGGTATGGGAGGTGGTGCAGGAGTGCCGGGCCCCACCATGAGGTCGGGCTTGGGCCGGTCCCCCACAGATGGCGCCCCGCAGCATCGTCTGCTAATTTAGCATCGGTGTTCGGGAGTCCCTCAAGTGCCCTAGGTGAGGCGCTAACACCTCCTCACACCTCCTCCTGCAGCTTTATTAAGCGATTGTCTTAGTGTTTAAGAGGTGTAGAGTGTGTGTAGAGAGACGTGACCTGACCCAGGGGCGAGGCCACCTCCCTCCACCACCCAGTCTTTACTGTAGTAAACTGTAGTAAACTGTAGTAAACTCCTCATTTGAAGCTGGTGCCTTGTTGACAACTAGTTATTAGTGGTGCTTATCATCCTCAATGGCCCCAAGATGTATAGTTCATGTGGGTGGCTGGGAGATAAGACCATTATGCAGGTTAAAAGTGTGATCATACTTGGGAAGACACGAGAAAATGTCTTTTAAGTTACCTGAAGCAACAGTTGGGTGTAGGAGAGGTGGTGGTGGTGGGTAAGACGTTCCACTCTGGTCTAAGGTTCTGAACATCAGCCTAAAGAAGAAGTCAAGTAGCTTTGGTTGCTGTCCTTAGTATACACCTGGCAGGGTCAGTAGAGAGGCAGTACTGGTAGTTAATATAAATATAAATAAATATAAATGTTTATTCAGGTAAGGTACATACATACAAGAGATTTTTACAAAAATTGCAAGGTTTATAGATAGAGCTAGTACATACAATGCCTAAAGCCACTATTACGCAAAGCGTTTCGGGCAGGAAAAACATTAAAGACTAAAACTTAATACTAATTGAGTTTAAAGTATAAAATGTGTTGAGAACAAATAAAAATAAGAAAAGGGGGGAACGTGGCTGAAAAAGCAGCACAAATATAATTAGGTCAACAAACAGCGGTGTTTAAAAAAAAACAGACATGGGTTGACAGTACAGGGGTAAGGTAGTTATATAAATCTTTAGCAGTCTCCATGGCGTAGTGGTAAGACGCTCACCTGGCGTTGAGCGCTTTGTCCTGGGTTCGTATCCTGGCCGGGGAGGATTTACTGGGCGCAAATCCTTAACTGTAGTCTCTGTTTAACTCGATAGTAAAATGGGTACCTGATTGTTAAACGATTCTTCGTGGGGGTCGTATTCCAGGAAACTTAGGATTAAGGACTTGCCCGAAACGCTATGCGTACTGGTGGCTGTACAAGAATGTGACAACTCTTGTATATATAAATAAAAAAATAAATAAATATAAAAATATAAAAAGTACAATTGAATAACCCCTCAAGCTATATATTACAGTAATGTTTGACACTTCCTAAATGTTTTGTTATTTTGTTCTTTGTTTTTTGCAAGGTTGGACTGTACCCCCCCCCCCCAAAAAAAAAAAAAAAAAGTGCAGTGCTTTCCTATTAGTAACTGAAGAATAGGGTGAATAATTACTTTTACCTAACCTAAAAGTTTTGGAATATATTCTGGTTAAAGGCCCATAAAACTCTGCACTTGGGATACAGGATACTGCAGTGTGAACATATGTTATTGGGCTCAATACATTTATTTGTGTCCTGTATCTAAACAATGATTTACTATTATAAATCCAATGTTTGCCAAAGTTATCTCCCAGCTGTGTCATGTTTTCTTCCTGTTAGGGGTGTTGTACATGTTGCTATGGTGATACGTTCACTCATGGGCTGAGTGATGCTGTCCAATGAACTTGCCCTCTCGGGCAAAATTTAAAAGGACAGTCCCTTATAGGCCATTATTCAAATAGTGCAGCATGTTACCTAAGGTAACCTCAAGGTAACCTTTGCCTCTGCAATATACATCCTCAATCTTAGATTAGGCAAGGGTTAATTTTTCAACCGATTCTTAAACTCTGAATACGTGTTAAAAAATTTCTGATGCTGTCTACTGTACAGTGATGCACAGATCATCTTTACTAGTTTCTAGGTACCACGATGAGACACAGCATGAGTGCTGTGGTAATCAAGGTCAGGTCACTACCCAGAAGTTCCAGGTTCAGCTCTGCAGTAGGACAGCAGCATTTGGGGAACATTTCATATAGTACCTGATATATTCACCTAGTTGTATTCATCTGTACAAGCACCTTGCTGTGCTTGCGGGGGTTGAGCTCTGCTCTTTTGGCCCGCCTCTCGACTCTGTCAATCAACTGTTACTAACTACTAATTTTTTTCTCTCACACACACAATCCCCCAGGAAACAGCCCATAACAACTGTCTAACTCCTAGGTACCTATTTACTGCTAGGTAACAGGTGCATCAGGGTGAAAGAAACTCTGCCCATTTGTCTCTTCCGACACCGGGAATTGAACCCGGGCCACAGGATTACGTGTCCTGCGTGCTGTCCACTTAGCTACCAGACCCGATGTGTGTTCAGCTAGCAGTAAATAGGTACCCAGGAGTTAGAGAACTTTTGAGGGTTCTCCTAACAGGTTTCCTGTCCCCAGCTATGGAAAATGGGAACTAACTTGTCCCTTCCATCTAGTAATACTTATTTGGATGAGTTAGGTTACAATGAGTGGTTTAAATCGAGAGCAATTTGGAAATATGGCAACTTGTTGTGAACTTATTCGCTGCTTGATATGGCTGAATTGATACTTAAACTGACTGACTGATGTGCACAACAAAGAGATGTACAGTAGTCAAAATAAGAACCATATTTGGTAATACAATTTAATTTCTCAAACCCTAAACAATCATTTCGTTGGTTTGTTGTGTCGCGATGTCTTTTTTTCAATTAATACTCAATACTGTACTCATTTTGAATATATCGTCTGTCCTCTCATAATTGTGTAACTAATGTTTGAGGAGTTGCATGTAAACTTGAAAGTGTGTTTGACCTACTATCGTTGGGAAGATATGGACCTAGAGAAGGAAGAACTGTAGTACTATATGTAAGGAAAGAAGAGAAACAATATTAACTAATGGCACCTATCCATTCACCATATTTTCACTACACTGCTTCAAAGAATGAGTGGCTCCACACTCCATCACTCGTATGTATACTGTATAGTGATCCTTGTGTGTTGTAAAGTATAAATATTTCAGACAATCATTCATTCTTTATGAACTGTTACCACCTTGTCTTGTTTGTTAGCACATTCACTTTTCACATATGGTCCCTGCTTTGTGACACTTGATCATTGTGACTCTCCGTCTTTTTGTTGTCCTCTGTATTTTAGACTGTAAACTGTGTAACACCCTTTTAAGAAAAGTATGTCATGAACATTCTGTTTACAAAAGACCTCATTCTACATACTGTTTTCCTGAAGAATTTATAGTGATAAACTTAATGGTCCTAACATTAGTGATAAAATTTGATCTAAATACAGTATTCTCCCGTTGTCAGGGACAGACTTCCTGTCCTCGACAGTAATTCTCCCACTGTATTCTGGGTATGTCTTTTCACACTAATGGAATCAATCTTTCAACAGATACAATGCTGTAGTCATCAGAGCTAGGACCAGGGATGGATTACCTTATCTTCCTGGCTCAAGAGAGAGCAGAGTCTGTACAGGTGAAGCTCTATAATTCTTTTTCTTATGCTAACAAAAAGTTTATTCCTCAGAGAGTAATCACACTAATGTGATGTGTCAGTGAAAAAATCCGTAGGAGCTAACCATGTCATGGCCTAGTTGACTAGGCCGTGTGCATGGCAAACCCTTATTACAGCTCCTACGGATTTTCTCAAAAAGTTTATTATTACAGTACTTTATTATTCATGCAATTTTTAAAACTTACTTTTTGCACTTTACTTTTTTCATGAAGCATACATTTCTGCTTATCACAGCAAAAGGGGTTAAGGAAATGGCTTAAAAATTGGAGTGTCAGTGGATTATGCTATACTGTACAGTAGTTATGTCTTATGGTGTATAAATATGGATTAAAGCAACCTCCCACATGGCTATTTATTCAACATTTGAATATACAAGATTTTGTACTGTATTTTTTAGCATTTTATTTATTGTTACAATATTTAAATTATTAATTGTTTAATCTTATTATGTGTGGCAGTAGCCTATGAGCATTATTATTTTTGTTATTAATAATAACAATATACTACTGTATATACTGCACAGCTTTCTACTAATGCCTAAGTGTGTCACATAATTCTTGACCTAGTTTTGTGTGTGCGAGTAATTCACTCCCAACAATAAAGTTGGCTGGCTGTCAGCCACCTGCAACAAACAATTCTGTATTGCCTGCATCGTTTAATAAATCTAAGCCTGGAAAACGTGAGGAACTCTTTAAATGTATTATAATAGCATGTCAAAATGTGAAAGATGTCTGAAAAGGAGTAATTGTAAGAATTTTGTTTTGTTGTGTGTGCTTGCTTCTAGTAAATATTTAAATTTGTTCTTCAAATACTAGGTGCTCTATTTTATTTTGTTCTTTTATATTTTCTGGCAGACTGACAAAAGTTTATTATAAGGGTAACATTTTAATCTGACCCCTGATGACTTGAGAACCAGTGGCCAGTTACCAAAATCTTGTCCTTGAAAACATTAAAACGTTCTGAAATTGCTATTCTACCTTTCCTATTAATATCAGATATTAAATTATCAGTTGTTCTCAAGAAAGAAGCCATTGACAACTTTACTGGGTATGGTGATGGTGTCAAAGTCTTGAAAAATGCCAATTAAAGTAAACTGACACAGTGCTTCATAGTACAGAACATTAAAGTCCATTACATTCATTTGGCTCATTTTCAGTAATGTAAGAAGCATCAAATGTTGATGCATTTGCTATGTTGAAGGTATTGGAACCTATGGGGACCCCACCTTAGTTATTGAAGCCAATACCCATTACTCCTCTAGAACAGTAAAATGAGATAGTGAGAACAGGTTGATCTGATACACCCCATGTACCCATTGTACGTGCTTGTACTTATTGCATCACCTGTACTCTTTACTAAACTCTTGGAATAATCAAGTGAATCTTTGATTACAAAGAAAGAGTTCAGCACAGAGCAACAAAAATCATCCCAGAAGTTATGCCCAATCTTTACTTTCTTATACACTAACTTGCCTTGCATTTCCATCTTTTCTGCCTTTCACACTTGTTTCTACCCTCATATTTGCGTAAATATACTCTCTCCACCAGTCTACCATCACCCCATTCATTCAGTGTGCACAAATGATTTCAGTACACACACACACACACACTGCTCAATCGTGTGATTTGCCTACTTTTGCACTGTGTACATCTTTCAGTGACATTAAAGGTAATGTAGCTTTTAACCAAAATATTATTAATTATAGTGTTCTGCTTTACTATCCAGTCTAAGTGTTCTTTGTGCATTCCTCTCCTTGCATTATATTGTACACTACGGTACTTCCTGCACACCCTTCTCATCTCCGTGCATTAGTGATGTTGACCATAATTACGGATTGTTGTTTTTCCACTTCAGCAATAAGTTGATTACCTACAGTATTTCATTACTGTTTACAATTACCATATCTAAGTATGTAATGTTTGGATTGATTCTTGGTGCTAAAATTGCGATTGTTACTCACAGGTAACTTTGCACTCGGCTACAACTCATTTCGCCAGTATTCTTAGATCTTTGGGACTTGGGGCCAAAGCATCCTTCAACAGTGCTCTCGTTTCTATTAAGAACCAAAGGATCGGCAGAGATGTGGCAGAAAAATTTTGCGACTGGCTTGCTAAGCTAAGGGAAAGATTAAGTGCTTTCTCTCCTTCTGAATTTTATAGCAAGTTTTTAATATTTTTCCTAACTGAAGGTATGTTGAATTGTGTATATTATTATTATTATTATTATTATTATTATTGTTTTTCTTTAGTATAGTAATAATAATAGTAATTGTTATTTAAAAATATATAAACAATTATACAACAGTAGTTGTATAATTGGTATAGAATATGTATATTTAATGAAGCCACTAGTATGCACAGCATTTTTGGCAAATTATTTATTAAATTATAGATTCTGTAATAATCTAGATACTGTATTTGCCTTTTGTTACCCTACATTCAGATTTTATACCATGAACATGAAGTATAAAGAATATTAATCTATAATTTGGCTTTATATTTGTATGAATTACAAAACATTTTGTTGCTAAGACTAATAAGTTGGGTGAATAAATAGATACACCAGTCACTAAATTTTTGTTATAGACCTCCAGACTTCATGACTGTTACATAGGATTGAAAATAATTCTGTGTATAAATTATTTTAAAAGCATAGGCCTCTTGGTCACTCCACTAAGCAATATCCCGCTCGTCATGACACATTGTGAACTCCAGCCTGGGTCAGAGTATGCTCTGATGCAATAAATTATTTTAAAAGCATAGGCCTCTTGGTCACTCCACTAAGCAATATCCCGCTCGTCATGACACATTGTGAACTCCAGCCTGGGTCAGAGTATGCTCTGATGCAATAAATTATTTTAAAAGCATAGGCCTCTTGGTCACTCCACTAAGCAATATCCCGCTCGTCATGACACATTGTGAACTCCAGCCTGGGTCAGAGTATGCTCTGATGCAATAAATTATTTTAAAAGCATAGGCCTCTTGGTCACTCCACTAAGCAATATCCCGCTCGTCATGACACATTGTGAACTCCAGCCTGGGTCAGAGTATGCTCTGATGCAAGCATGCTTTGATCTTAAGTCCATGTCCCTTTTTCCAGACTTGGTCTTGGGGTGGGGTTTTTCCTGGGATTCTCCTAGAGCAGGGATGGCAAACCTGTGGCACACGTTCACAATATTCCTTGGGGAGCGAAATATTCCTAATTGAGCACCCGAGTGACCAGCCCAGAGAGTAGTGTTTCCACTGCACTCTACTTGTTGTATTATATTGTATTATATATGGGCACTTGGCCATAACATGGGATTTTTCAGTGACACGAACTCACATATACTTCGGTGGAGCGTGTTTCTTTGCTGGAAGCCTCTGTGGCATCTTGCTGGGAATGAGGCTTCAGAGTAGTATAGTTGCACCCCAGCGCATGAGAGCTGTAGTGGCCAACAGCTACAGAGGATTGGAGGTAAGCTAACAATGGTGTGTAATTGTATTTTTCAAATATTTTGTACATTAAATACCATTACTTTATTCAAATAAAAAGAATTAATGTATGGTAAACCATTGCTTTGTGTGGTGAAAGTACAGTATTCTGAAAGGCTCATGCAGAGCAAAGCCATGCAAAATGACCTTTATATCTAGAAAAATATGATTACTTTCATGAGACTGCCAGAAGTTCACATGCTGAGCTAGAATTCTGCCACTCCCATAAATATATCTTCCTGAGTGTCTATAAAGCCTGTGAATTACAGTTAGGCAAGCTTAATATACAGGCATCTTTGGCATTTTGCACCGTGTATTGTTATGTAAGGTGCATTACTTGGGAGAACTAAAGACAAACTATACAGTCAGAATTATTACCCACAAACTATACATTGTGGGTAATAAGGATTAACTCCCATTAACTGGACATGCTTTGGTTAATGGGGGTAGTGTATTGAAAATATTCATGTCTGGCTAGTCTGGCAAAAGTTGTTGGATATTTTTTATTTTATGTTTATTATGAAAAACAATATGCACTTTTGAAAACAATACTGTATTATAGTATTTAACACTTTCGCCCGGGCATGACGCAGCATTGCGTCATCCGTTTACTGGCGGTAATACCGGGGATGACGCAGCATTGCGTCATCCACTTTAAATAATCGCCAAAAATCAGGTTTTTATCCAATTTTTTGGGGACTAGTTTTAAAATGTGCGCCAATGTCTTCCCATTTTCTTTGTTGAACCTCGTGGCCCTCAGGTGGCTTGGCACACGCCGTGGGCCCATTGTTTTCGCTCCACTGTTGTGACCAATGTCGCCTCCCCTCGCATCTCAAACGTGTGAACATTTCGGCTATTTTCCGTGGCTATATTTCTTACTGCGGCTTTAGAAACTATCTACCCTTACTCCACGATGGATAGTGATCATGAACAAGGCCCTTCCAGGAAGAAAATTGCGAAAGAAAGGCTTGAAAAGGGAGGGAATTGGGAGTGTAGCTGGAAGGCGTCTGAGCGCTCACTCCCGGCTAACGCGTGGCCCGTCTTCAACTCGTCGGCGGTTGGAGCGTGACTAGGTTTTATATTTTATATGCTAATGTTCTTCTAGAGAATTCTATTGCGAACCCATTGAGACCAAAATAAAAGACCTAGGACAAAAATTGAGGTGACCAGAGTGAAAATAGTGAAAACATTTTATCGCGTTTGCGCGCTCCTGGGTAACTCGTTCGCACTTTCTCTGTTTGCTGCGGGTAATTAGCCGGGCTTTTGGAGTTTATATGCATTTAGTGCTGTAGAGAATTCTATTGCGAACACAATGATGCCAAATTTAATCTCGTAGGACGAGAATTAAGGTGACAAAGTTGAAAAGAGTATACACTTTTCAGAATTTACGCGCGCTCCCGTGACACCCTGGGTCCCATATCGCACTATTGAGGGGTGGCGTGCGGGGTGAGCGAAAGTGTTAATACTGTTGATTTTGTCGTACAATTATTTTTAGTGGAATTCCTGTGCAAATTTTTAAATTGTATTATTATTTATTTTTTTGTCCAGCAGTGACATGCATATACTGTATCTCTCAGTACAATGTTAAAGTGAAGATGGCCACTTGATTGTTGGCAAATTTTAATATGCAGAAGATTGTTTTGAGAATTTTGAGAGGTGTCAGTGTGTCATAGGAAGAGGCTACCTCAGCTTGGACTAAGATATACCTCTCCACTAAGCTCCCCACCTTTTGTTTATAGGAACAAGACACTTTAAAAAGGTTTTCATCATTCCGGGTCATAAAGCTGTTTAAAGCGTGTTGCACTATCAGTGTCCTGTGTGGGTCCAGTGTTAAGGCTTAAGGAAACTGCCTAGGTGTTCCAGAATGGAGCGCTTTACGCAACAAAATGCTCTATTTATTAATGAAAGCTCATTTACAAGTTCACTCATTAATTCTTTAATTCTATATTTTAGGCCATTGGAGTAGTAGAAGATGTCATTGCACCAAGAATTGTGGAGCCACACCAAGTGTTAATTCAAGTGAAGGCTGCTGGAATTGATTACCTGGACATTAAGGTGGCCGAAGGATATGGCCGTGTATTGAGACGACAGTTAAATAAATATAATCCAGTAAGTTTAGTATAATAAATTGATTATAAAGTCCTAGCAAATAAGAACAGATCAACATGAAATAACTATTCTCAGTTTTCCAAAATGGGTCAGCAGTGGCCACCATACTGAAAAATAGTTGGTAATCTGGATAGAATATGGGCCCATAATATGGTTCAAAACTAAATACTGTACCTGTATACATAAAATTAATTTAAAGCACCACCAAAGCATATTGATAATGAATGTTTGGGGGGTTGATGCTGGTTGTCAGCCAGGGGCTTTCCTTGCATTTAAGGCTGTCAAGTATGTTAGTTTCATATAAATATTGTCTAATACTTTAAAGGGAAGGTAGATATAACGTAGATTAGAGATCATATTTGTTTATACTGAGGAATTTCCTTTAAAAATGGGTGATATTAACTACCTGGCAGACAACTGGCATTGTGGTGGTAAATGTCGTGGCGAGCACCATAAAATCGGCTACCTATGTCGGTTAATACAGTACTGTATCTCGGTATGTGTTGCACCTACATGCCAAATTGTTGCGATATTTTATAAATGTTTTTATACGTTTATAAACGTACGTTTTAGTTCGTACTGTTGGCTTTTCCTAAAAGTTAATAATATTTTCTTCTCTATGAGGAAAACATCAATATCATTTTTAAGCAGCTGAGGACTGACAACTTCACCACTAAACAGGTACTTTATTTTTTCTTTTAGAATGTGGATGGTGAGTTCCCAGTTGTTTTGGGGCGAGACTGTTCTGGAGTGGTGGTGGTTGTTGGCAAGGCAGTCACACGTGTGGAACAAGGAGAAGAGGTAAACCAATAAAGTTAGTTTGCTAACATTCCTGAGCAAAGAGTCTATATGATGTAAACAAGACTTATATTACCCACCTGGCTGGCTGTTGTCAACCGTGTTTCCCATCATGAAAATAAACTTTTAAAGTAGTTTCACATAATTAGGGGAGGTTGACAGTGGCGAGTGTAGGATATTACTCTATGTATCATAATATAAGTGAAATTGTAATGTTTGTTAACACTGTAGAACCTGAATTTCACACTAAAATTGGTTGTAGAAAAGTTGTATATAGACAGTATAGAATGTCCTGACAAATTTAGTAATTTAATATTATAGTACTCATTTGTAATATACAGTACAGTATCTAATTACTGTATATATATAATAAATATATATAAATAAATATAAATTACAGTATAAATTAAGACTGGCTATTAATGAACTGATAACACTGAGTCTGTGTGTAGGTGTGGCTTGCTGTTCCATTTTATCATCCGGGAACTCTGAGCGAATATGTGGTAGTGTCGGAGGAACTGGTGGCCCCCAAGCCATCACAATTGACTCATGAAGGTGCTGCTGCTCTACCCTACAGCATCATGATAGCTTGGGATGCTCTGGTAACACAAGGAGGACTTGGCCCAGACTCTACTACCGGCAAGAGGTCAGACTGTCATCAGCTCTAGTATATTTTATGCTGAGGTCACTAGGCATTTAAAGTGTATAAAACCTTTGAAAAATTTAAACATGAAAATTGTAATGTAAATTATATTATAATATTAATCTGTATATGTATGTAAACTCCTCCCCCCCCCCATTCTTGATATACTTATGGGCAATGGTTCCAGATTGTGTGTATATGTGTGCATATTAAGTGTATATAAATAAATACACTTTAATACAGCTCATTTTAACCCTGGGTGCTGTGGCACACTCGGTTTCATGTACCATAAATTTCAGCAAATCTCACGTAATAAATGCAAATCTCACTAAAAGTCCCAGAGGAGTGCTTGGTACTGGTACAGTCAAGCCTGGTGTTCCAGTAAAACTGTCTACAAATGATGCAGTGTTGTCAGTAGACCAGCCTTCACCCGAACTGGAGCGTGGGGTACGAGCGGTACGTCTGGTACGTGTTCTAATAGCAGGCCTACATGTGTGGTGGTATCAACATCGTCATCATCACTCCTCTCTCTTACAATTTCTTCCTCGCCTGCTGTTTTAGTTTTACCCACCTCACTATCTACATCACTGTCACTTTTGGCACTTTCAAGATCAGAAAATTCTTCAACTAAAGCCTGGAATTTTTGTTGGTGTGAGTTTCACTTTGCTGTACTTTTGGCGAACACTACTTAGCTTCTCCCTCAGATGTGTTTCTTTCCCTGCTTTCGTCCTGGAATGGCTCTGTTCTTGATCACTATCCATCTTGGAGTAAATGTAGTGTGTTTATAAGGACAGTAACAAATATAGCTGAGGAAAAATAGCCGGAACGGGCACATATTTTGGACGTGAGAGGAGCCTGCTGCGATCATGAGCATAGACACAATAATAATGGACCTACAGCACGGGAGGCAGTGCCGTGATGCCACATGGGCCATCACAGAAAATGGGAAGACGTTGGCGCACATTTTAAAACATGTCCCATATTGATCGGAAAAAATGGAATTTTAACAAATATTTTAATTTTGGACGCAACATGCATCCCTGCCGGACATCCGTAGTTACAGTATTTATAGATGCAATATCCGTCCCTACCATTTCACCTCCACCCTGCTTCTTTTCTGAGCCATCTTGGCCTCTCAGTTGGGTTCTCAGTCGGGTTCTCAGTCATGTCTTTGGTTTGTGATACCTTCTTTAATGCTTTGTATTTGTTGGCACTCGCTTCTGGTTGTTGTGTTGGGGAAGCTTCATGCTCTCCTCTGGAAGCCAGGATTTTGTTCCTTCTGCCCTGGTGGGCAATTTCTTCACTTGCTGTCTTCTTCTTTTCTGATGAAGAATGAGTCCATTGGCTTTTAGAGGAGTCTTTTGGTTATTGATTCATAGGTTGCTTGGCTGGGGGTGCATCATTTGTTGTGGACTGTTACCTATCGTACGTTACGGCTCGTGATCCTACAGCAGCCAAACTTTAATAAGTCTAGGGATACGACACAACTGCTGTTCTCAATAGCGAATCACCAGTATAACCCCTTAATGGGTAATGAGCACAAAATAGAATCTTCATAGGACTGAAGAATAAAGATACTAAGTATAGATATATACTATTATATTAAATAAATCTCAAAAGCAAACAGATGATTATATGGTCACAATATATATCACATTAAAAATATCACTGTAACTTCCAGACATTAAATCAATATTAATATATGTATATGGCTAGAACAAAAGAATGACTTAACTCCAAGATGATATCTCCCTGGTTTCTGCTCAGCTACTGAACTACAATATGCGAGTCAAAAAACACATTGCCTTGCCCCGCGAATAAATTGCCAAAGTTACAATATTTATTATTTCAACAATGGAGCACTACATTGTGACAAGAGTAATCTTAAACTAACTTAATGAATAATTAGTACACATTGATATACACAAAACTAAAGTACTTGTTTCTTTACATAGTAATTAAAATATGCATACAGAAAGAAATAATGGCATGCACACCCAGCAACGGACGATCCCACGACAATTTGCCAGATACAGTTCACTCAATTATTATTTCACTCTGTTACCCACTTATGATCACATATAAATCATTAGTTCCCGTGGGAAAACTGATCACACAAAGAAATAAACAATCATTCCCAGATACGCTGGGCCTAACGCCAACACTGTAACATGAATGTGCATTTGCATAGAACATATAAGTATAACAATATACATGCTTGTAATTTACATACAATTATAAATGTACATATTAATATATTCACTTACGTATCTTATAAGGGTACGTAACACTTCCACCTCCAAGAAAAAAAATGCAATGGATTGAAGATCAATGGCATTTTTTCAGAAGTAAAAATGTTAAGTAAAAAGAAACATTTCATTTATGGTACATCAAAACTTCTTGACAAAGCATCAGCAATAACATTTTGTCTGCCTGGAATATGTTTGATTTCTACATTAAATTCCTGCAAAAACAATGACCATCGCAGAATTCGTTGGTTCTTGACTTTCATCATATTTATAAAGATAAGGGGGTTGTGGTCTGTAAATACTAACACTTTATTTCCTGATAAGTAAATCTCAAACTTCTTGATTGACAATATAAGACCCAACGCCTCCTTTTCTACCACGGAATAATTTCTCTGAGCTGCATTAAATTTTCTGGAATAGTAATACACAGGATGCTCAATCTGGTCTAAACCAACTTGAATAAGCACAGCACCTATCCCAACATTAAATTCATACGCACCATCAGGTGTAACAAAAGCAGTAACCTCTCTAGCATACTCTGTTAATGGAATTTGATAATACCCTTTTGACAAATCAAGCTTACTTACATATTCGGCATGACCTATGGACTCTATACATTCTTCCAACAAGGGTAAAGGAAAAACGTCCACTGTAGTGTTCTTGTTCAGTTTCCTGTAATCCACGCACAATCTCCAGGTTCCATCTGGTTTTGGCACTAACAAACACGGAGAGCTCCAAGTACTTTGACTTGGCCGAATGAAATCATGCTGGAGCAGATATTCCACTTCTGCTTGCATAATTTTCCTCTTTTCGGGATTCACTCGGTACGGATGTTGTCGAATGGGGGTGCTGTCCAGGAGCTGAATGTCGTGTGTGATGAGGTGGGTCTGGGTAGGAACCTCCCCAAACAGAGATGTATGGTTGTCCAGCAGAACCTGGAACTCATCACGTTGTTCCTCCTGTAAATGACATAGCATCTCCCTGCCATTGGAACTGGAACTGAGAAGTGGGATATTAACAACATGTCCCTCACTACAATTATCCTCAGGTGGTAACTCTTCCCGACTAAAACAAGCTACTACACCAGGTCCAACATAAGCTTTTAATCTGTTAATGTGCACAGTCATTTGGGGTTCTGAAAGATTAGGGTTAATTAGTTTATAAGTTAGGTCTCCCACCTTGTCTACCACTTGGTAGGGTCCTGCGAACTTATGGGACATGGAAGTCCCCATACGAGGTTTCAACACCAACACCAAATCTCCGACATCAAACGACCTTAGCTTAGCTTTGAACTTCTTGTCATATCGTACTTTCATGGCTTGTTGAGTCCTTCCCAGATGTTCTTTCGCCAACTCACGAGCCCGACACAACTTAGCCTTGACCTCGCTCAAGTACAATCCGCTCTGATGAACAGAGACATCTCCCAACAACTTTTCTTGTAGCATTTTAAGAGGACCTCTTACTTGGTGACCAAACACTAGTTCAAAGGGTGAACAGCCCAATGACTCTTGTAGCCCTTCTCTAGCAGCAAACAACACAAAGGGGAGATTCTCATCCCAATTACGTGGATGAGTTTCTCCGGTTGTCTTTAGCATTTGTTTCAAAGTCTGGTGGAAACGTTCAAGTCCACCTTGGCTTTGTGGATGATATGGACTGGACAATTTGTGCCGAATCCCTCGGGATTCGCAAAAAGTTCTGAAAACTTTAGAAACAAAATTTCCCCCATTATCACTCTGAATAACTCTAGGCATTCCAAACAACGAAAAGAATCTTTCAAGACACTTGATGAGATTATGAGCCTTGGTATTCCGTAGAGCATAAGCTTCAGGAAATCTAGTAGTCATACACATGAGAGTGAACAAAAACATGTTACCCGATTTAGTCTTAGGTAAAGGACCCACACAATCAATTACAACATGAGTAAATGGTTCATCAGGAACTACAATAGGTTGCAATGGTGCTCTAGGTACAGATTGATTTGGTTTACCAACAATTTGACAGGGTATACAGTTATGACAATATCTGACCACGTCTTTCTTTAACTTTGGCCAGAAAAAATATTTACTTATCTTATGGTACATATTCGTGATACCTTGATGACCTCCCATGGGGTCATCATGTGCAGCCTGCAGGACCTGCCTACGATAATCATTGGGGACAACGAGTTGGGTTCTAATCTCACAATCCTCTGAAGAGGGAGTTCCCTTGGGTCTCCACCTTCTCATCAGAAGTCGATCCTTGAAGAAGAAACCCGTCCCTTCCTCCAATGCATCAATATTATCAGGAGCCTCAGAAATACACTTACTTAAACTAGGATCAGTAGTCTGTACAACACTTAAGGGCAATGACTCAGACTCAGCAGCGAGCGGGCAAGAACCTAGTAGCTTGATCTCTTTTCCCGATTGATCAGAATAAAATGGAGTCATAGCTACTTCGGCCTCACTCTCGACAACTGGCGCACTGGAGACAAGCGGGCAAGGTACAGATAGTTCAGCCTCCTCACCTTCACTTTCCTTGTGATTTAGGTTCGGCGGGGCTTCTACTACGGCCTCACTCTCATCATCCAGTCGAGTCATAAAAGAATCCTCAAGATCCACCTCCCACTCCTTTACTGAAGGGGTCCTGGTCTTGGGATCAGCAACCTTAGTGAAGACAGGATTACTCTCACCTGTTTTTCCCATTGATCTAGTAACAACACAAGCAGGGTAAATAATATCATCATCTGCTTCCGGTTGAGCTAATACATTATGGGGTTTAGTTAACATGATGGGACACTTGGGCCCTACAACCATTTGGTTGCCAAAATCATTACCTAGAATAATGTCTACCCCAGGAATGGGCAGTTGTTTACTTACACCAACATTACACCATCCTGAAGTATATTTAGAATCAAGGTTAACTTGCAATAAGGACACTGGTTGCACACTTCCGGCAATACCCTGGAGAAGCACAACTTCACCCAGATCTCGGGTGTCAACATCATCAAGTACCTTCTGGGTAATAAGAGACTGTGAAGCTCCAGTATCACGGAGTAATTGAACAGTCTTATGTCTACCATTAGTACATAATAAGGTACCTGTGGACATATAGGGTTTGAATTCAGCCATCCAATTGGGACTGACTGTAATACATGAAGAATTAATAGGTTGCACTCCTTTACTCATAATAAGACCAGTTGGTCGGAGTTCAGGATGCAAACTAAAACATGAAGAAATCACATGCCCCCTTCTCTTACAATGGGTACAATGTTTGACAGTGGACACACTGGTATAACCAACTGCCGGTTTAGAATTAGCATTACTAGGCTTAGATGATCCTGGCAATGGAGTAACCATCTTAGGGTTAGTAAGAGAAGAGTTCACGGGAGTAACTGTCGCACCAGGAGGAGACTTATACTGATAAGGAGTACGGTGAGCATTGAAATTTACTCTACGACTAGACTTAGGTGAAGTGGCCATAAACGGGGCCTTAGTCAGCAACTCATGCTCATCCGCGAGCTTTGACAGCTCATCAATATCGGTTACATTCTTTTGTTCTGCCATAAAAGTAGACAACTGGTCTGGAAGACAGGACAATACTTCTTCCATTATGAGAAGATTCTTTAGAGCATCAAAATCAGTGACTGCAAGTGACTTTAACCATCTGTTGCAAAAATTCGTCTTCTGACGAGTAAAATCTGCTATTGTCTGATCCTTGATTCTCCTTAGGTTCCTGAACTTTTGCCTGTGTGCCTCTGGATTTAGCTGGTATGCATTGAGGATGCTTTTCTTTACAAAGTCATAATCAAAACTATGAGCGTCAGGGAGGGATGTGAAAACCTCCTGACTACGCCCCTTGAATTGAGACTGCATAATGGCTACCCACTGATCCCTTGGCCAGTTCATACTGATGGCAATTTTATTAAAATGTGCAAAGAAAACCTCAGGATCTTCCTCATTGAACTTGGGCAACTCTATATACTTATTCATCCTGATGGGATTATTATCACTATTTGTTGAAACATTACTAGTATTTCCATGCCCAGCTGCCATACGCTGTGATTCAAGCCTGAAGTTAGTGTCAGCCATTTGTTGTTGAATCTCTAATTGTTGCTTCTTTGTGGCTTCAAGTTGCAACTCAATTAAACCTCTCTGGTTTTGTGCCGCAATTTCTAAACGCCTAGTCTCCAGCTCCCTTTGCTGAGCTTCAGCCTCTAATATTTTCTGTTCTTTTTGAGCTTCAAGCTCTAATTGGCGAGCTTCTAACTCAAGACGCTTTAACGTCATCTGATCACTCGACTCCTCTCTTAACTCCTCTAGAATTTCTTCATCTAAATCCCCATTCTCAACAAAATGCGTCACAATGACTTTCAATATTTGGGCTTTAACCATTCTATTGCTGGCGGTCAAATCCAAATGATTTGCCATTTGTATTAACTCAGTCTTTTTAAGGTTCTGAATCCCTTCAAAGTCTGGGTGAGCCACCAACGCTGCAACTTTCTCCTCCATCGTTACTAACACTTGGCACTTGATTCACAAAAATAATTAACACAATGGCACTGCACTACACTTCACTGTAAAATTGTCACCACACTGAAAATTCGCTTGGCCTCACTGCACAAACAAAATATATAGGATGACTTACCTCAAAATCGTGAAACGTTGTTACTTGACACACAGGAAGGCTTGCTTGGCACATGGAATAGTTCTTAAGAAACACACAGAGACACTTGACACACTGGTACCTAGGAAGGCAAGGTTAGATTAGCATAGTTAAGTTAAGTGGGACAATATTTCCCGGCACAGGCCCCCATAACTCTTTGTTACCTATCGTACGTTACGGCTCGTGATCCTACAGCAGCCAAACTTTAATAAGTCTAGGGATACGACACAACTGCTGTTCTCAATAGCGAATCACCAGTATAACCCCTTAATGGGTAATGAGCACAAAATAGAATCTTCATAGGACTGAAGAATAAAGACTAAGCATATATATATCATTTATATTAAATAAATCTCAAAGGCAAACAGATGATTATATGGTCACAATATATATCACATTAAAAATATCACTGTAACTTCCAGACATTAAATCAATATTAATATATGTATATGGCTAGAACAAAAGAATGACTTAACTCCAAGATGATATCTCCCTGGTTTCTGCTCAGCTACTGAACTACAATATGCGAGTCAAAAAACACATTGCCTTGCCCCGCGAATAAATTGCCAAAGTTACAATATTTATTATTTCAACAATGGAGCACTACATTGTGACAAGAGTAATCTTAAACTAACTTAATGAATAATTAGTACATATTGATATAGACAAAACTAAAGTACTTGTTTCTTTACATAGTAATTAAAATATGCATACAGAAAGAAATAATGGCATGCACACCCAGCAACGGACGATCCCACGACAATTTGCCAGATACAGTTCACTCAATTATTATTTCACTCTGTTACCCACTTATGATCACATATAAATCATTAGTTCCCGTGGGAAAACTGATCACACAAAGAAATAAACAATCATTCCCAGATACGCTGGGCCTAACGCCAACACTGTAACATGAATGTGCATTTGCATAGAACATATAAGTATAACAATATACATGCTTGTAATTTACATACAATTATAAATGTACATATTAATATATTCACTTACGTATCTTATAAGGGTACGTAACATGGACATCTGTGGCTGTTTGTTGCTATTTGCACAGCACCCGGACTTCTTTGGGGAATGTGTTGTTTGTTGATCGTTTACCTTAGTCCCTGTTCCAAGGCTCATTTCTTTCAGGTTGTCTACACCTTTTATTAAGTCTAGCCAGCCTGTAGTCTACCCTTGACCCTGTGATGTGTGCAAGTTTGCATCTCTTGAATGCCTCTTATTTAACGCATCTTTGGTTGATATACAGGCTTGGAGGTTTTGGAGATCTAACAGGGTCTAGGTAGCTTGATACCTGGTCTGTGTTCTGGATCCCTGTTGGTCGTATTACTCTGGGTTGGATTCCTACTCTGGTTTTTCTTCTTCAAGAGTATAATCTTAGCTCACCTCCTCACTTATAAGTCTTGGTTTTCTTCTTGTCCATGGTTGGTTAGTTTCAGGGTGCCACTGTTTGGCCCCTCCACAAAACCAACATTGAATGTAATGAAATGCCTCTTTCTAGTTGGGCCTCAGTGGCTCCCTGGTATTTCCCTCCTTCCAAGTGCATATGTTGCTTGTTTTAGGCTCCAGATTGAAGAGTAGTTGACATGGGAGCTGGCAGCTGTTGTTGTGCTGCTGCCTAGCAGTGGCCAGCTGTAACTAAGTGGGTATAGCCTGACTGCTGGGTGAATTGTTTGCAGAGTCATTTACAGCTTCGTTTCTCACTTCTCTGTGAACCTTGCAGCTGTTTGTTTTGCTTAGCTTACCTTCTGAATGTTTTCTTGGTGAGGGTGATCCTAACAATGGCCTGCACCTCTGAGTGGTCCAGATTCTTTCTCTGATCTCTTGTAATCTATTAAGGACTCCTGGGGTTGATGTGAGTCGTATGGAGTTTCCTCAGTGTAACTAGCTTTAAGGAGCCACTGAAGCCTAACCAGAAAGAGGCATTTCATTACATTCAGTGCTGGCTTTTTGTACATTTGACCAAATAGTTGATATAAGTACTATTATTTTAGGAGGTTGGGCTCCATTCTCACGTGTGTTCTCAGGTATGATGTCATTCTCAACACAGTGGGTCAGGCGCTACACGAATCCTGTTTAAAACATTGTCTTCCTGGTGGAGTTGTCGTCACCACTACCTCATCGCTGTTGGCATCGGATTCGTATGGCTATGTGGCTGGTGGCCTCTATTCTTTATATATGAGAGCAAGATATTGGTTCACCAAGGTAAACTTTTCATAAGATTGTTGGGTATTGGTTAATAATACTGTATATACTATTATGACCTTCATGTCACATAAATCTAACTGATTCATATTATTCAGCCAAATATTTCATCTTATTCAGTCTGCAGTAATGAGTTTTGTCTATAACTGGGTTGCCTCATATATACATTATAAAACAGGGACCATGTTTTGTGTTGCCACACAGTACAGTACTTGACTACATCTACCTTTAATATCAAAAACTTTTAACAGAAACTATAACCTTTTTAAATGAATGTATAATACAGTATTTGGATAGCTTGCTTAATTTCCCTACGATTATCCCAAGGCTTCGTATAGTTATTTACCTGAAGGGCACCATCTTTAGTAGCCTTGACAGGGACAGGAAGCCAGCAGCTTGTCAAAGTCCCCAACCCCCTCCCCCTTGCATTAATGTCATGCAGCCATGTGTTTTATTTTATACATTATGGTAATGGAATTCAACCCCCTCCCGCCCCCCCTCCGGGAACAGTATGTAGTATTCATCAAATTCTCTCGGTTACTGTACTTTTATAAATTGCCGTACCATAACTGCCTTAAAATTATTTTTCTTGCTTTTCAATGCATTTATGCAAAAGTGCACGTATAATATACAAGAATATGCTGAACATGTTTGAATGTGTCTCGCCAGTGTCGGCAAGTGTCACGTGAGCAACATTTTAACCAATAAACATTAGCAATTGATGTTTTGCATATCATGTTTTTACACGAGATCCTTTTAATAGTCCCCATGCACTTGTTAGTAATAATTATTGAAGCAAATCTGAACATGCTCTGCGTATATACAGTACTGTATAAAAGTCTGCCAATATCCCACCTGTGGTCAGGAATATTATATTGCTGATGTGCATATGGCTAGTTCTGTACAAACACTAAACTGGGGGTTTATTACATATATATTGCATATGAACTATGTGAAGACAAAAGTGAGAATTACATAATTATTTCTGGGGTAGTTTATAGAGTGTTAGAGGTATGGAATAATTGTAGTAGGTGGTATAATTATTAAAATGAGAATATTCTCTGAGAATAATGACACGATGACTGTAAATGGTCTCCTGGGTATAAGTGACATTTGCTGTAAATTAAAAGGCTTTGGCAATGAAAGAGTTATGTATTATTAATACATATTGTAAGCATAATTATATAGATGCAGTATATATGTAAATAAATATACATGGTTAAGTTAAGTGATGGAATTGTAGGAAAAAGTTTGATTATATATAACCAACATAATAAATTTGTTACTTCTCATTTAGTCACCATGGTTGACTGGTGGTAGATGGGGGACTCTGGAGGTCAATGGAGAAGTGTTGGAGAAGGTTTCGCCACTTATAGATGCAGGACGACTGCAGGCAGTTGTGGACAAGGCATACTCGGCCCAGGATGCAGAGGTGGCATTTGCACATGTAGCCAAAGGCGAACAAATTGGTAAAACTGTTATCCGATTTAGGTAAGTTCAAAAGGAGCAAGTATGATTAATTGTGAGAGTATACTGTTATAGTGAGTGAAGTAACCATCTTAATATAATAGGCATCCTTCAGTCTCGGGAGACTATGGAGTTGCGCCCTAGTTGTCAATCCTGGTGCAGCGTCTGGTGTGACTGATGAGGCCAATCCGAGAGTGGCAGTCCATCCCACACCGAGCACAAACGAAGTCCGATATGTTAACGAAGATATGTTAACGAATATGTTAACGAAGATATGTTAACGAAGTGTACAAACGAAGTAACCATCTTACTAATACACAAAACAATTTAGGCAAATTGTCATTTGAATGTAGCTTGTTTTCAGATGTGTCAGGCACAGTAGTTACATATTTTCCAGTAATGAAAAATATATTAGCTTAAAAATGTTAAGAAAGAAATTGGGGTGGTGATCTATATGACAACAGAACAACATACAAAGCAGAGAAGCACAGCCTGAAAATGATTGGCAGGTACAGGAAATTAGTTGTTAAATGTAAAGAATATTTTTAGAGAGTTGTTGCAGGGAGATTTATTGCGAGTTGTGCACAGTCTTTTGGATTATGTTACTGTGCACATTCATATTGGGGTTAAGGTAAATTAAATGTAATGTTACTGATGTATGTTGTGGGGGTAATATGTTGTTTGTTGTGGGAGGAGTTACGAGTGAAGAGAGGCAAAAATTTGTTTAAGGGTCAACTTAGCAAGTCTCGCTAATGTACATGGTGAACAGTGATGGATGGAGCAGCACTCCAGCTGTGTTGAAGAAGCTCTTGACTTCAATTTCAGTAAAGATATGCATGACTGAACATGAGGAAGTCATTGATACATGTTCAGAAAGCACCGACTTTACCAATTCAGTTTTTTTCTCGTGTTAGCATCTTGAACAATCTTTAGTGCTTTTTTTTAATAACCCTTGACTCTGTGTTACATGGTCTTCCTGGCTTTGTGCATTATTTTGATAATTACCTGCACATGGTTGGGTACCATTGTCTGACATAATTGATCTCACAATATTAAGTAGTCATAGAGGTTTAACCTAAATTTTGCTTATTGTTTATTTTCCACTTTTAATTTCATTATATTTGTCCTCACGTTTATTAGAATGCCAAAAGTTGATCTACCATAATTGTTATACAGGTTCTGAGTACGTATCATCTCTGATGGTCATGTAATAGATCTTGGGAACCTGAGTAACAGTAGTTAACTAAATAACTTTGCTTCCTAAATCCGAGATGGCATGTTACTCCGGTCTGTTGTATGCAGTCATGTGCAGATATAGTAGTACTTAGTTTCCAGGTGTTGTTCATATGCAGCGTGACCGAGCTGAAGTGTGGACATTTCCTTGCATCTACTATTTAAATAATAGTACTAACTCTCACTATATTTTGTTTTGCAGTATTAACACACCAATTAGGAATCTAGGAATGGCATTTTGTAAGTATATATGGTATTAATATTTAAGTAACATTTCAATTTACTCTCTTCTGAAGCTTATTTTAATGGCACATCATGAAGATTTTTTTTTTAATATATGCTTTTTCTGGGGGGAAGCCCCGTCTACTCCCCGGAACTATCCAGGCCGATATGTATCTATTAGCTTTCTGGCATCAAAGTACATGGAGTTCTTGCCTACCGGGGACCACGAGCCAGAACCTGGCCCCCTCAGAGAAGCATGAGGAGCAATGGCCTATAGAAATCCCCGTGTGGTTGGGAGCATTGCTATCGACTAGGTGTGGCACCCAGAAAGATAGGCACCCCAAAATAAATCCCTATTCTGGTGAAAATATTGCTAAAGAAAGCCGAACGTGTGGACAAAACTCCCCAAACGAAAATTGGCCTTGCTGGCGCGAAGGTCTGGGGCTCCCTCTTCCGGGGAGGAGGGTTGCACAGACAGAGGTGCAGTAACGTGAGGACGTCATGCTTGTTTGCTAATTTTCATTTGGGGAGTTCCGTCCACTCGTTCGGCTTTTGGTAGCAATATTTTTCCCAGAATAGGAGTTTGTTTTGGGATGCCTATCTTTCTGGGTGCCAGACCCAGTTGATGGCAGACATAGAATGCTCTGTCACATGGGGTTTTCTATAGGCAATTGCTCCTCGTGCCTCACTGAAGAGGCCAGGTTCTGGCTCGTGGTCCCTGGTAGGCAAGAACTCCATGCACTCTGACTGATGCCAGAAAGCTAATAGATACGTATTGGCTTGGATAGCTCCGGGGAGCCTCCAGGCCTCACCCAGAAAATGGTGCTTCATTACATTCAACACTGGTTTTTTCTTATGAAGTAAGATCAGGCTTGGTTGCAGGGTTTTGGCTTGCTGTCATCATTACTGCTGCATATTTGAAAACCAAAGGCGTCTGGGAGGGCTCCTGTGGTGGTTTCTTGATGCTAGCTACCAGGATAGCTCCACCAATTAAATCCACACCAGGTCTTTGTGAGGCCTAGTGTGGATTTAGTTGGTAGAGCCCCACCCCCCTAACCACTTCCTCAAGAGGTGGTGGTTAAGGCCTTTGTGAGGCCTGGTGTAGAAAGCTCCATTTGTAGCTTTCTTTACTTTCTGGATCCTTCTACAGAGGATCACAGTGGCCCATATTCATCTGGCATAAGTTTTGTGCATCTGGGCTGTGATTTCAGGCTTCACATCCAGTGAAGCCTGAATGTTTTGGCATAGGTGGTGTCAATTCTGGCTTCAGTGGCTTTAACCGTGTTGCTCATTCCTCTTCCTCAAGAGGTGGTGGTTAATAACTCGCCGCCTCCTGAAGTTATCCTATGCTATGTTGAATTGGGTGGAGTTATCGATCAAGAAGCCACCAAGGACTTGCCAGAAAGAGGCATTTCATTATATTCAGTATTGTCTTTTTGTCCTAAGCTTCACCCTTTCAAAGGTTATGAATTTACAACTAAAATTGTATCACAGTAATGCAGTTCGCTGTTCAAATTTTGTCAATATACAATTGCCATAAAAATTCATTGTGCATTTAAACAATTTTTACCTGTCCTATGTAACATGTTATATAATGTTATGCATGGGGTAAATAAATTAGATTTTATTTTGTTTTTATATTGGCAAGGGCAGCCCTAATTTTATTGACAAATAGGAAAAGAACAACTATGTATGCTTAAGTTTGCAAGCTTGGATTAGTTGCAGTCATATTTACAGCTTTACTGCAAATAATAACAGACAAGGAGTTGCCAAATCTAGCCACGTTTTTGTTGGGTATTCTTCAAGAGAATAAATGTCAGTGATAACTGCAGTGTTTAAAAGTTTGACTTTTAAAGTATGTGAATAATGATTTTCTGGGGGGGGCGGCCCCTTTGGCTACCCGGAGCTATCCGGGCTGATACGAATGTATTAGACCCTGGCATCAGTCAAAGCAAATGAAGTTCTCAGGCCTACCGGGGACCACAAGCCAGAACCTGGCCCCCTCAGATAAGCACAAGGAGCAATGGCTTATAGAAACCCGTGTGGTTGGAAGCATTCTGTATCTGCCATCGATCGGGTCAGGCACCCAGAAAGGTAGGTGCCCCAAAACAAACCCTATCTGGTTAAAAATTGCTACTGGAAACCAAACTGTTGAACAGAACTCCCCAAAGTAAAAAAAGAGCAAACGAGAATGACGTCAAAACATTCACCACACCGCTGTCTGCGCAGCTCCTCCCCCTCTCCGGGAGGGGAAGGGGAGCTCCAGATCCCCCTTCTGCTTGCATTTGGGATGGATGTTACTTCTGCTCCAAGAAGCTATCTCGTGTGTTGTTTCATCTCCGGCCTGCTCATGCGCCACCTGACCCATCCTGGACGTTGGACCGGGTGCTTTCTCTTCTCCTTGGTTTGTGGTGGCACCTTTGGTTCAAGACTGTTTTTTGAAGGCTCTTCTTCTTTTTCCTGTTGGCATTGGCTTTGGCACGGTCAGGTTGGGAAGCTTCATGCTCTCTTCTGGCACAGAGGTCCTGGTGGTAGGTTTGTTTGCTGCTGTCTCCTGCTCTTGCGAAGAATAAGACCGCTGCTTTCCAGAGGGGTCCTTGGGTGGTTGATGCTTGGTTTGGCCGGGGGTGCATCATGCACTGTGTCCGGTTGCAGTTCTTTCCGCGTTACCTGTGCGCCATAGCCTCGGTGGCCGAGAGACACACTTTAGGTTGACCGGGTTTCCCTTCTTCCCTGTTCCAGGGCACGGGTCTCTCAGGTCATTTGCAGGATTATTCGGTTTGGCCAGCCTGCGGTCTATCCTTGTACCCATGACGTTCATAAGTTTGCTGCATTGGCTGCCATCTTTGGTAATATGTCTTGAGCTGACATTCAGGCATGGGGTTTTCGGAGGTCAAACAGGGTCCTGGCTGCTCACTACCTAGTTGGTGTTCCTGGCCCTAGTGAAGCGTGTGTCTCATTGGGTCGGCAGTTGCAGCCAGTTGTATTGACTTCGAGTTGAGGAGTGAGTGGTGACCGCCTCCTGGGTAAGTCCCTCTTGTTTTAATCTTTGGTTAAGTAGCTCCTGAGAGTCGAAGGGGCTTCTCCCAGAAAACCAGCGTTGAATGTAATGAAATGCCATTTTCTGTGTGAGACCCAGACGCTCTCCAGCAACCCTCCCTCCCTCAGGTTGGCAGTTTTTGCAGTTTTGACATCCAACCTCAGAATTTGGGGTGAATAGCTGGCATGGGGAGTATGGAGCTTTCCCCCTGATGGTTGGTGATGGTTGTGTCGTCATGCTCGTTTTTAATTTGTAGAGTTCTGTCCAACAGTTCGGACTTCAGTAGCAATTTTTAACCAGATAGGGTTTATTTTGGGGTGCCTACCTTTCTGGGTGCCTACCTTTCTGGGTGCCTGTCTTTCTGGGTGCCTGACCCAGTCGATGGCAGACATAGAATGCTTCCAACCACACACGGATTTCTATGGGCCATTGGTCCTCATACCTCTCTGATGGGTCCAGGTTCTGGCTCGTGGTTCCCGGTAGGTCTAAGAACTCCATTCGCTTTGACCGATGCCAGGGTCTAATACATCGATATCAGCCTGGATAGCTCTGTGAAACCTCCGGGTCTCACCCAGTAAATGGCATTTCATTACTTTCAATGCTGTTTTTTTAGTGTTTTTTCTCAATATGTTCATACATATTGTTAATGATTTTTAGACTGTCTTTGAACACTTCCTTAACATTTGCAGGGCAAGACCACTAGCTTCACGGATGGAAGGTTCTTTGTAAAACTGATGGGTTAACTGGCTTGATAATTCGTCCCAAGATTGAGATAGTCCTGCCGAATAATTTGTATTTTTCCCTATTTATATTTAGAAGTTTTTACATTCTTGTCACTCTTCTTAGGAAAAGTGTCATTTGCAATGCAATAGGGATACAAGCGCAACATATATTTTTATAAAATAATGTAGTTTTATCAAGGATATCTTCAAGGCTAATAGCCTGCAGGTGGGCAGTGTTAATATTTGGCCAAGCAATCTGCAGTATACCAATTTGCGTATATTTTTAGACAGCAGTACTGTACATATTTGAGCAATACTCTTACTTTCTCCCTTTCATTTTTCACTATTAATCTTACAAGTTAGAAAATAATTCTTTGCTTGTGGTCCTTATGTACTCAATTCAGCAATTTCATTAATACTGTATTTCAAGAGAGCTGGCCTCATTTCAGTTCTTAATTTTTTAATATGTGGAGTTACCATTTTTGTTCAATACTGCATCAAATGTGCACATGAAAGTATTTCTACCTCAGATATTTGAAGTTAGACTTGAAACTGTGCTTTATGTATGAATCTAGTGTGGATGGAGCCTTACAACACTGCGAGTCTTGGCCATTTGATCTGCGCTGTTGATGTGATCAACAACACAGCACAGATATTTAACTGACTATAAGAGAGCCGTCTTAAAGTGTTGTAAAGAAGGTGCTCACACCCATGCACTCACTACAGTATGTCAACATACTTTTATTACATTAGTCGAGGGTATTGGATCTAGGGTATAATTATTGTAGATCGAGCAAACTTCCATTATTAAGTACTCTGACGAGCTTGTGTGTGACCACATTTGTTACATACATTGTGATTATTTTGATTGTAGTAAAGTTATTTCAATATTATGAAAAAATTTGTAATTTATCTATTTTAAATTTTCTTCTTAAGGTAATGAATACTGCATTGGTATATACTATTCTGTAAAACTGAAGTACAGTAGTGTTAAGAATGAGACACTGAAAAATGTTCCATTTGACATTGTAGTTACGGTGGTTTGTGTTGTATAAAATACCCCGGGCTGTGAGCTGATGGATTTTGTCGCAGTATAATCTCCCGTCCACTGTATGTTCACTTGCTAGATGCGTTTCATTTTGACGTAATTAATGTAAAAGTAGTTTAGAGTACAAAGTTCTTGTAATAGGTGAAAACATGATTGCTCAGTTTCAATAGAAGAGCATAAAGTTGGCTCTATATTTGAATATGTGGTGTATATTAAGAATTTGGTATGTCATAAATTGTTGAAATTTAAATAAATCTACATGAACCCAGATCTACCTTACATATCGGGTTATCATAAAGGCTAAATTGTAAAATTGAAAATGTTAGGCTTAACATATTCCAGATCATCTTAATAAGCTATTAATGCTGTTCCATATTTTTATACGTACAGGGAGTAGAAAGGCTGACCACTGTTTCTTCCATAGAAGCACTACTTTGGGGAAAGTTAAGAGGTTTCTTCTTTTCCAACTGTTGGCTCTGTTCTCTGGCTACTCTCTGCGGCACCATCTGCTGGCAGTGTATATCTTCTCAACTTTTAAGTTGTTCTTGTGATTGATGTTTCCCAGGTCTTTTGCTTTATTCACTTGTGACTTCCTTTCTAGCATTCCTCTTTCTCCTTTGATTTTTTAACACTTTAGTATACTTCAACTTTTGTGAAGGTCACTTCACTCATGTGATTGCCTAACCAGTGGAACATTGTTTAACCCTGCATTAGCACGTTGAAGTTTTTAAAAATCCCAAACAAATCATCCACCAAACAAAAGAAAAAGGTTACTGTTTTCAGTAGTGTGCATCGTAATGAGAGATTAATGCAGGGAATCACAAGGTAGTGGAATATCGGCATAAATCTTCATTTAATTACATAGACAACTAAAAAGTCATTTTTTTCTGGGCTGAGCAAACTTCCCAGGGTGGTCATGTAGGGTTAAATGGCCATGACTTCACACGAATACAATATATCTCTTGAAAACATTTTAACATGTAATATTAAGAAACATATTGCTATACAGGTACTGATGACCAGACCACACACTAGAAGGTGAAGGGACGACGACATTTCAGTCATCGTCCCAATCGACTTGAGAATGGTCCAAGACGGACCAAAACATCGTCGTCCCTTCGCTTTCTAGTGTGTTGTCTGGTCATCATACTTTAGCCACGTTATTGTGACTCATCGCCTGCATATTGCTATACTGTATGTTAATATAATGTCGATTTAATACTAAGAAATCAGTAACATTAGATAAAAAGCAACTCTGGCTGTTACATGTAGATTGTCATCCTGTTTTCACCTAAAATAACTAAAAAGCTCAGGTGTGAAATATTGGCATTTTTGATAAGCTTAACTATTGCACAATGATCAACTCCCGACCCCCTGGGGTTATGGACACGAGACCGAGTAGAATAATTAAACTCAAGAATTAAACATAAAGAATACTGATCATGATTCTTTTGTCACTGATGCTCAATAACTTATCAATGTACTGTGATTGTGCTGATTATTTATTCTTGTAAGACTGTTGCTCATTAGTAGCACTTGCTATGCTTTCTGCTGTTTTTAAGAGGTTAATATTGCAGTGTGTTATTGTATATAGTTTTTTTTTTTTTTTTTTAACGGGGACAATCAACTCGTACATCTGTAGATAAAGGAAGTGACGATGTTTCGGTCTGTCCTGGACCATTATTCAGTCCAGACAATATTTAGCAGTGATCAAACTTTTTGAAGTCTTCCTTTTGTGTAAAATAATTATATGAAATTGTTTAATGTATAGCTGAAGTAAATGCGGTGTAAATAATGTTAGTGTTAAGTGTTGTGTACAGTCTTCTTACTGAATAAAGATGAGATTACTTGTTACAGTATAACTACTTAACACTATTCTCTCTGCTGGTATGGATGAATGTTGAGGGCCTTACTGGAGTTATAAAAATTGTAATAATTATTATATACGACAATTATTATTATAATTAATATAATAAGTTATAATAATTTTTATAATAATAATTGTTGTATTTAATAATTATCACTCTTCCTTCTGCTTGGTCTTGAAGGAGGCTGGCCTCGGGTGAAAGGGGGCTGGGCGATTTCTGTCTGGAACCCGTAGGTGCGAGACCGGGACGTCCACCTCCCGAGGGTCGTGTGGCCCAGGCTCTGCTTCAGGAGGCTGGGGTCGTTCTTGCCCTTGATGAGGTGGTTCTTCTCCAGTCCCGACCACGGTGGTCTCCAGGTTTGGAGTCCCTGTGCCTTCTTTAACCAACTTCGAGGTCTACCCTGGAACTCGCAGTTCCTGCGACGGCGCTGGAACCAATCGTATTGGCATTGGCCTTTCCATTGGAGACTTTCAGCGCTGTGGAGAGGGGGGACCTGCTGCTTGAGTAACAGCTTCTCCTCCATATCAACCTACCCTGGCTTTGCGCCCTGGAGAGGCCACTCCAGACCGACAACCAGAGCGCAACACCATAGTCTCCTGAGACTGATGGATGCCTACTATATACTGTACATTGATTTCACCGTGAATACATATTTTTGTTGTTCATATGATTGATATGAAACAAAATCAGGATCCCTACAGTGCTTGACCTTTAACCAACAACACCGTCTCTTCTTCCAGCCTTTTGATGTGTTTCACCACCAGTTCATGCTCCTTTATTTATGTCTTACATATGATTGCTTCTACTGATGCTTTATTAACAGTTCAAATTTTGTAATCCCAACGCATGTAACAGTGTCAGCACAACATGACTGGGCCAGTCTCTCAACATCAGCCTCAGACCAGGAATATTTTTATAATGAAATTTTCTTAACCCTTAAAGACAATGTGATACATTTGTAAACATTAACAAATGGCAAGTATCTTTTCTTAGGTCTATTTACATTTAATATTCAGTACACACTATCTTAATTGAAGTGAAAGTTTGGTATAGTAAGAGGCAGAGTGATCAAGAGTACATGCAAGGGAAATTATGTTTTTGAGAAAAGCAGTTGGTGTACTTATGTGGTATGAGTATAGCAATGAGGAAGTATATAGGGGTTGTTGCATGAGTTAAAAGGTGAGGGAATGAAATGTGGAATGGGTGAAATGAAATTTACTGACGGGACATTATAAGAATGCCCGAGGAGTTTTTAATGGGAAATGCATACAAGTGTAAAGTTAAGGGATCCTGTGATACAGAAAAATTACCAACATCTTGGAAAGGAAAAGTAGAATAATATAGAAAGAAATGATGGGGATGGGGTTTTGAGAGTTTGAAAGAGTGAAAGGTTTGTGTGATGATAGGGCCTTCTGGAGAAACTATGGCTGTGACTGTCACTTAATGGGGTGCTCCCTGGAGGAAGTATATTGTATTTTGATTTTAAGTAGCAATACCATGTGATGTATGACCATAGATCTCTTAATTGGATATATTAATAGACGTCTAGGTATACCAATTACACTAAGTTAGATTGATGCCATTCTCATAGTGCATACAATACTGACTCATGTTTGCTGAACTGTTTGGTTTCTAGATCATGGGTACTGTGCTCTACCAGTCCATGGATAGGCTACTCTGCTCTTTGAATTCTGGCCCATATAGTATTGTGCTATTTGGACACCAGTATATAGTGACCTGCATTATTTCAATACAGGTTAATGTAATTAAATATTGAAATTGAAATTCTTTATTTAGCTTAAAATTGTACAGTGTGACATAAGTTATCAGTTGAGTAAGAGGCATGATTCTAATTAACCTAACTGTATTAAAATTGGTAAAAGAAGAGAATAAGATTTTGGTATTAGTAGTGTCCTATGATGCAGAGCCTATAATAGTAAGTACTAAATATTATTAATCAAACATTAGCAATAAATATGATATTGTATTTCTTGGGAAAACGAGCTACAGGTATATATGAATTGTAATATTACTTATTACTTGCATGTTGTCTTACTTACAAGGTGGACAGAACCCATCAGGTCAAAGCAAGTCATTAGTGTTTCTTGGGCACTTACATAAGCCTGGTTGGGGTGGACAGTATACTTAAAAGTAACATCAACAGATTTACAACTATGCCCATTAGGCTTGGAGAGACCTTGCCGTTATTGATCTGTACCGAGGCTTTTATATACTCTGCCCAATATTTATTCATTTGCACTTGAGTTTTAGGTGCATCATAGAGCTGAACACCCGCCTCAGTCATGGCGTCTGTTGTACATACCAAGTCACAGATCCTGCAAGTGAACCCATTGAGTGCTTGGCAGCATGAGGGACATCTCATACTTGGCTTCATCGGCAACTCGTGGAAGAGTGGCCAATCTGCTTGACAGGCAGCACAACTACAACAGAAGAAATAATGTTGCTGAAGTGCTGCACGTCTGTCTGTGCGCCTGTGACTGACGTATCGCTCTCCATAGCTGTCTGTGATCTCTGCTCCTTGTGGAATGATACTTACACTGTACAAGAACTTAGTGCTACCTAGGGAGGTGGTCAGGGTATTGGGGACGCATGAATGGTTTACCAGGCTAAGAGCAGAATACACTGACCAACCCACTTCTTGTCCTCGATTCTTCCCAATGTTGCCTTCCTCTTCCCCATTACTAACTACGATTTCTTTAGTGCCATGGACATTGCACTCCAGACCCAAGATGAGGCGCATTATTTGCCCGCCCACTAATACAATATCTTCTTGGGTGACTGTAACTGGATGGCCGTTTTGGTCTTTCAAGAAAGTGGGGCATTGTTCTATAAGGATGTGTGTTAGAACACACGCAACAGCAGCTGCTTCTTGTAGCTGACACTCTGGACGGGCTGTGGTGTGTCCTTCCAAGTGGTATAAGGTACGATAATCGTGTGCAACTTGCATCATAGGTCGTGTGCCTCTTCCACAACCTTCGTGTTGGATGGTGGCCAATGTGTTGCGAAGGTCGGTGAGCGTAGTGGAGGCCAGAATCCTGTGAGCAAGAGCTGCAGCGGGGTCCAGCTGCAGGGCCACCAGGACTGCGAGAACTCTACATTCCGCACCGTGGCCACCATCAACACCAGCATGCAGACAATCCTCGCTGCAGAATACTACCTGTAATGTAAATGTTCTAGAATTTATTCAAAGCATCACAACACTGTTGGAACTAATTCACATTTCTTTGTTTAGAATAGAAAGATAACATTCTGTATGAATGAATTTCTAGTATATTTGGCAAGAAATAACAAACAAGCTATGATCTAAGCGGTCCAGATTTTCACATGTAAACCATAGAATGTTACACAACAAGTGAGAAATTGGATCATGTCTATCAGAAATGGGGCTGGAAAAGATGAAAGCAAAAGGATACATACCAGGGAGCAGGAGGGGCATGGGAGTGGGACTGGGCAGCGACGCAGACAGTGAGAACAGTGAGACCTGAGAGTACTGTCCAGCTTCACCACGGCCGCCAGGGCCTCTTCTACCACAAGCACCTCGCCTGCAATGATTGAAATAGAAATAAGTTTATTGAGGTAAAATACACACAAAGGGATGAGGTAACTCAAGCTATTCTCACCCCGTGGTGCTACATAGCCTTCCTGGTTTGGTGCCTTCTATTGATAATTACTTATTCTCACCCCGTTCAGTACATCGTGTTAATACATACATAGACACACATCACAAACAATAAACGTATTACCGAACATTCTGAGAGATAAACATATACATTATTTATTCATGCCCGAAACGCTTTGCGTAATAGTGGCTTTAGGCATTGTATGTACTAGCTCTACCTATAAGTCAAACAATCCTTGTAAATATTTATTGTATGTATGTACCTTACCTAAATAAAATTGTATTGTATTGTATTGTACATATCCTGCTTTACACAAGTACCTGCAATGATTGATCACTTGCAATAACACTTTACTCTCGTGCAGTAGTAAACAAACTTTCACAACAAGATTTCTGAAACAAGATTAAAACATTAGAAATATTGTATGTATATTAAGAAATGTGTTGTAAAATCCATAGATGAAGTGCATGGTGATACTTCAGCCCATTGCCTGGATCTCGCCAATCAATCCGTCAAACAATCGAGGGATAAATGTTTGATTAAATTATAACAATACATAAGACTAAAGGAACTTGTCACACAGGTTTTAATTATATTTGCATGGCGAGTTATTTCATATATATATGAAATAACTTGATTGCAGTATCAAACTACCGTATCTGTTTTTTTAAGCGGAATTATATTTAACTGTGTTAAATCAGCAGAGTATTGTAGATAGACAATGAATTTGGCAGACGTAAAGCAGGCAGGAGCATAGCTGTACCATGACTATGCTTATGGTACATCAGTTGTATTGACCTATGGTGGTAAGAACGTACCCCTCTGTCCACAGTACAGATACGCGGTGGTGTTACAGTAGCATATCTGTGTACAGTGGTGCAAAGTGTGTTAACGTACCTGGTTGGATGTCCCTGCTGGCTACCAAATGTCTGCCTCGGATGGGAGTGTAGTGTATCCTGAGGGCGTCGCTGAGGCAGGGCACGTCAGGTTGCGGGGAGGACACCGGTGGGGGCTGTGCTGGACCTGTATAAAACACCTGCTCGTATTGGTGCGTGGCAGGTGTCGAGTCTGAGCTGGTCTCACACTTTGCCTGTAGCTTGGTGAGCGAGCTCTTTACAGTTGCTGCCTCTTTTTCATTTAAAGACAATGAAGAGAGCATGCTCATAGTTTCCGCAAGGATAGTTTTTGCCTCCTGTCCTCTTCCAAGTATGTGAAGACACTTTGCTTGTCGCTCATGTAGTCGATGTCTTCTGGGAGGTGGATACCCGCACGTGAGCGAGCGCTGAATGTCTGCAAGAGCAGACTCATACTGACCCATCTCGTACAGAACAGCAGAGCGGTTGGCATATGCCAGGGCCAGGCTCTCCTGCTCAGGAGTGGAGTCTGCTAGGGCTGAGTCTCTCGTGGCCAAATGCGGTGCCGCCAGTATGCTGTAATTGTACGCCAGCAGCGCCTGCTCTAGCTTCCGTTCTCGATAAAGACGGTTTCCCTCATTCCGGAACTTCTCTGATTCGATGGCTCCCTTTCTGCTGATACGGGAGTTGCCAGGAGGTGGGACGAGCACCTGCTGCGCCTCTGGCCGAAGCCATAGGTACCGGAACATGGTGTCCAGCGTGCTAGTGGGCTCAAAGTGGGCCATTACTTCGCTTGTCTGCCAGGACTCTTGCAGCATCCCACGGAACTTTGCGTACAGTTCTGTGAAGGGCGCCATGGTGCCACGTCACGTGCCTACAACTTCTGTTAAGAGTGGCCTTCTGCTCTTATGTTATTACGCTAGAACAATTTAATGCATTTGCCTCTGAAAAAAAGAAAACAATTAAGTAACAAACACCGGAATACAAATGCAAATATATATGTACATACATACTCAAAATCTTGTATAATTCGACTAAAATTCTCTACGTATTTGACATTTTTATGTCACTAAAAATTATGTATTCAGAGTTGTATTATCCAACGCTTTTCTTATTTTAACACATTATATTTTTATGGCCATCGACAGCACGAGCAATGGTCAAACTTAAAGAGTCAACCCATTATAATGTTATAAGGCTTTGGATTACTTTTTCTAGTTCTACTGAGATATCGCATTCACAAGTACGGTGTGCAGGGTAACAATAGTCTGATAGTTCTTGTCTTCCCAGTGTCCGTAGACTAGATGTGGCGGGGGGGGGGGGGGGGCACTGTGCCTTGGGATCTATCTGAGTGTTGCAGTATTTTTGTGTCGCGTCAAGGGTCCTCACTCTAAGTTCCCCACACACGCCGCCGACCTCCACCCACCAACTGTCCATGAGGCCCGTCCTCTAAACAAAGACCCAAAGTCCATTCCATGCACTCGCCAAACCCCCAGTTTATGAATGAAAAACGGTTTACACACGACTCACAACTGTTGACGTTCGAACACTTCCGGAACAAGTGCTTCATTGACGAATTTTGTTCGAACCACAACGCTGTAAATGCTTCACCCACGTACTACAAATACAAATAATTGCCAATAGAACTTAAACACCTAACCTAACCTATGCCTATGCCTATATATGCACAATATGCTAATATATTATAATATTAATTTATATTTGAGAAAATTCCCGTTTATAATGAACAGCATGTAAAAATTTATGAATGTGTCTGTGGGGTCGATCGCTGGATGGAATGGACTTGAGTCGAGGACGGGTTGCAACCTTGACGACGAGCGAACGTCGACGCCGCCTCCGCCTGGGAGCCGCCGGATCACGTTCTGTTTTCGCGTTTTGGATTTGCTACTGCCGTTTGGCATCCATATTCAACGGTCCGATTGTACGACGCCTGGCGTACATATCGCCTTGGGTCACGGGATTGTTGATAGATTTTTTTTTACGTGTTCTGGCTGGTTCTCCCGGTGGGGTGTGGTGTCCGGCGCCAGCTTGGCCGACAGGTGCCAGGAGTTGGTGGGCTCCTGGTGTGCCCTTAGCCGTGGTGGGCGGCTGGCTTCTGCTCTGCCGGGGGGCACTGGATGACTTTCGCGTTTTAGTTGGGGGCCGAGTTTTTGGTTTTGCTACCTGGTGTTCTCTGTGTGGGGCGGGGCCGGTGCTTGTCACCCCGAGGGACTCCTGAGGCTCCCCAATCATCTGCCTTTCTACGTTTCTTTGCCGCGAGGCATATTAGTTTCCAGTGATTGGCGTCACTCGTTTCGCGATTAGGCTTGGCGTTTCACCTTTCCGGCCCGCAATTAACCCTTCACGGTACTTCGATCCCACGATTAACCCTTAAACACGGGTGTATGGTACGCTTTGTTTATGGGACGCATCCGATCCCACGATCGTCGTCGCCCCTAAATAACTTAAACTAAATACAACATATGCGGTTTGGAGTGGCCTCTCCAGGGCGCAAAGCCAGGGTAGGTTGACACGGAGAAGCTGTTACCTACCAGCAGGTCCCCTTTCCCTCTCCACGGCGCCGAGAAAGTCTCCAATGGAAAGGCAAACGCCAATACGATTGGTTCCAGCGCCGTCGCAGGAACTGTGAGCTCCAGGGTTGACCTCGAAGTTGGTGAAAGAAGGCACAGGGACTCCAACCCCGGAGACCGCCGTGGTCGTGGCCGGAGAAGAACCACCCCAACAAGGGCAAGAACGACCCCAGCCTCCTGAAGCAGAGCCTGGGGGGCCGCACGAGCCCCAGGAGGTGGACGTCCCGGTCCCGCACCTACGGGTCCCAGACAGAGGTCGTCACAGCCCCTCTTTCAGTACCCAAGATTGACCATGTAATGTATCAATTATACATCATCTACGGGCTCACCATAGCCCGTGCTACTTGGGACTTTTTGTTCCAGGTAGCGAATCTTTAACAACAACAACAACATCAATTATACAATGTATGTACGTGATGTCACTATGTAACCTGAGCTTGCAAAAGTATCTTAATCACCTTCAGTGGTTAAGTACTTAATAACACACTAGTTTCTCTATCAGCTATCTTACCCTGTCAGAGTAGGAGAGCCATAAATGTATGTGTATGTATGTACGTGTCTGTATATGTATATGTATGTATATATATGTATATGTGTGCGTATGTATATGTATGTATGTGCATAAAGTATATGTGGAAGCTGATCAGAACTACATTTCACCTTTGCAAATGCACATTAATGACACTATGTAAAGAACACATCGACCATTTTATGTAGGGCAGACGTAACTCTGTGTATCTATGTATTTATATCTGTAGGTTAGATTAGCATTTTAAAAGCACTACAATCCCCTTCTGTGGTTGATTGTTCAATAAATCCGTGATTAGCATTGTAAATGTGTGGCCACGTCTGTGGTAGAAAATAATAATAATAATAATAAAAATCTCCTCACACACACACACACACACACACACACACACACACACACACACACACACACACACACACACACACACACACACACACACACACACACACACACACGCACACACGCAAACTTATCCACCCAAGCCCAACCCCTTCCGCCTTGACCACCGAACAGCTTGAGGGGAAGACGAGGCCTAGAGTCTGAGGGGAAGGTTGTTGTTGTTGTTATAGATCAGCTACTCGGAACAAGTTCCAAGTGGCACAGGCTATGGTGAGCCCGTAGTGGACTTAGCTGTGAGTGGAAGGGAAGGTAACTAACAGTCACAGTTTCTGTAAGGAAGACTGTCATTAGGTGGCTGTACAGCAGGTGTGTGAGTACAGCAGGTGTGTCCGTACAGCAGGTGTGTCCGTACAGCAGGTGTGTCCGTACAGCAGGTGTGTGAGTACAGCAGGTGTGTCCGTACAGCAGGTGTGTGAGTACAGCAGGTGTGTCCGTACAGCAGGTATGTCAGTACAGCAGGTGTGTCAGTACAGCAGGTATGTGAGTACAGCAGGTATACTGCTGTATACCTGCTGTATACCTGCAAATGAAGTATATTGTAGAAGATCATCATTTTAGTCTTATATTCACATGCCCTCACATTACCCCGTGAAGATCCTGGAGACTTGTTGTTCCTTATGTCATCTTACCAACTGTCTTCCTTAAGACATCTTACTCACTTCATATCCATTAGGGAACTTTACCAATTAACCTGCCTTAAGACGAGTAATCATCTCCTAATTAGATATAGTGCACTTATCCACTTGATCATCTTAAAGACACTTTGATGACTTCTCTCCCTCCCTTAAGACGCTTTTATGTCATTGTCTTCCTGAAGCACTTAACAACTCCACTTTTCTTAACGCAAGCAATCACTTAACTTTCTAAAAGGTGCTAAACACTTAATCTGCCTAAAGACCAATTCTTCCTTAGGGGCCCATCACTTTCCTAGGGGCCCGTCACCTTCCTAGGGGCCCATCACTTTCCTAGGGGCCCGTCACCTTCGTAGGGGCCCATCACCGTCCTAGGGGCCCATCACCTTCCTAGGGGCCCATCACCTTCCTAGGGGCCCATCACCTTCCTAGGGGCCCATCACCGTCCTAGGGGCCCATCACCGTCCTAGGGGCCCATCACCGTCCTAGGGGCCTCTGACCCGCTGGAGGAACGGGTGTGGGGAGGGAGGGAGGGGGAAAGAGGAGCTCTGACGGAAGAAGAGTAATTCCGTCTCTCTTATCACACACTCTTCATCAATAAATACAATGTTCCTAAAGTTTACAAACGTTAGGAGCAGTTTACACACACAGCGGCACTGGCACTCTCCCGGCCCACTAGCTGGCTCTGCCGCCCGCCCGTCCTCCTTCCCTCCCTCTCTCCCTTCCTGTCTCCCTCCCTCTCTCTCTCTCTCTCTCTCTCTCTCTCGCTCTCACCCTCCTCCGTTACTAACACCACAACCCTCTTTTCTCCTTCTCCCCTCCGTCCCTCCCTCCCTTCATCGCTCCCACTTGTGTCTCCTCCTTACCCCCCCCTCCCTTGCTCCTGCCATCCCATCACATCTCCTCCCTCCCACTAACTCCCCCACCAGGGTGTCTTCCCCTCTGCACGGGGCCAGCCTCTGCAACCTGGTCAGGTATATATGCCAAGAATTACTCCCCCATATTGTCTGCTGATGTTGCCGTTGCGTTGTGATGGCACTGTGGCACTGCCGTGGTGGTGCCTTAGTATTGTTGTAATGGTATTGTGGCAGTGGTGTGGTGGCACTGTGGCTATGAAAACTGCTTTGGTAGAAGATGCGGAGCACTACAGACAGATGGATGTCAACAACATCTTTGCTTCAGCGAGAGAAAACTAAATTTATTTTCAACTGGGACAAATTCCAACTACACACTGGACACAAGACACAAGGTGGATAATACACTGGACACAAGACACAAGGTGGATAATACACTGGACACAAGACACAAGGTGGATAATACACTGGACACAAGACACAAGGTGGATAATACACTGGACACAAGACACAAGGTGGATAATACACTGGACACAAGACACAAGGTGGATAATACACTGGACACAAGACACAAGGTGGATAATACACTGGACACAAGACACAAGGTGGATAATACACTGGACACAAGACACAAGGTGGATAATACACTGGACACAAGACACAAGGTGGATAATACACTGGACACAAGACACAAGGTGGATAATACACTGGACACAAGACACAAGGTGGATAATACACTGGACACAAGACACAAGGTGTATAATACACTGGACACAAGACACAAGGTGTATAATCAGATCTTTTCACTGAATGGAAACGACGTGTTACAGATCTAGGAATAATGTCCATCGCCCAGAATTCAGTAAGCATAATAAATAAGGCTTAGCATAAGCATAAAAATGATTGAAAGAATAATACAAACCAATACAGCAGAGGACCTGCTTTTCATATCCCCTTGTGCTATTTAGGCTTGCAATATTGCATTGCACTCAGCTTACCGTTCAAGACGGGCAAGACATCCGAAATGCGAGGTATACAAAGATCTCAAACTGAACGGTTACTTTAACCATTTCTTGTGCCTTCAGAAATTCCTCTCTGGAATTAAGACGAGAGAGAGAGATATACAGAGAGAGAGAGAGAGAGAGAGAGAGAGAGAGAGAGAGAGAGAGAGAGAGAGAGAGAGAGAGAGAGAGAGAGAGAGAGAGAGAGAGAGAGAGAGAGATCACATAATCTGAAGGTCAGGGTCCCCAGTATGCACAATCAAATAACGACCTGATGGAGCGTGAGATATGGCAAGAAGTGGAGGCTACAACCAGGCACCAGTAGAGGAGCCATGACCACAACCACACACCACGCTAATAAGTATTTGAGGTCCGGGACGTATCGACCTTCTACCAGGAAATACAAAAAAATATTGTCTGAACAAAGGTTGAAATTTTTAAGAGAATATTAGACAGATTGGTACAGTAACTGCCTCCGGGTCATCCGGATTGGTACAGTAACTGCCTCCGGATCATCCGGATTGGTACAGTAACTGCCTCCGGGTCATCCGGATTGGTACAGTAACTGCCTCCGGGTCATCCGGATTGGTACAGTAACTGCCTCCGGGTCATCCGGATTGGTACAGTAACTGCCTCCGGGTCATCCGGATTGGTACAGTAACTGCCTCCGGGTCATCCGGATTGGTACAGTAACTGCCTCCGAGTCATCCGGATTGGTACAGTAACTGCCTCCGGATCATCCGGATTGGTACAGTAACTGCCTCCGAGTCATCCGGATTGGTACAGTAACTGCCTCCGAGTCATCCGGATTGGTACAGTAACTGCCTCCGGATCATCCGGATTGAGATGTGTGTACTTGGGCCTCTCGGTCGCTGTCACCAACAGTCTTATCATATTATTACAACAAAAGCTTGACCCTTGTCTGAACTGCAGGACTGCGGGAATTTAACTCTTGAACCCGGCCACAGGTAACACACATGTAAGCCCCAGAGGTATTTAAAGCATAGTAAATCAACCCGTCCTTGATTCAAGTCCATTCCATCCAGCGGTCGACCCCATAGACGCATTCATAATTTATTAACATGCTGTTCATTCAAAACAGGAATTTTCTCAAATATAAATTAATATTATAATATATTAGCATATTGTGCATATATAGGCACTGGTTAGGTTAGGTGTTTAGGTTCTGTTGGTGATTATTTGTATTTGTAGTACGTGGGTGAAGCATTTACAGCGTTGTGGTTCGAACACCAGTCGTCAGTGAAGCACTTGTCCAGGAAGTGTTCGAACGCCATCAGTTGTGAGTCGTGTATAAACCGTTTTTCATTCATACACAGGGGGTTTGGCGGGTGGATGGAATCACTTTTGGGTCTTTGTTTGGAGGACGGGCTGCAGGGTAGACATAGATGCTTGAGCTGCTTCGAGATGCTGTGCTACCATCTCGAAGCAGCTAGTGAGCTCTACTTTTGCAAGACGGAGAGCGGAGAGGGAGGTGTTGGGGGCGTGAGTGGGCTTCCAGGTGATGGGGTGAGTGGGGTTGCAGGAGGTGGGGTGGTGTGGCGGGGGTAACAGGTGGTGTGGTGGGGGAGGGGGGAGGGGGGGTGACGAGTGGCGGCTTGCCAAGAAACCCACGTGGTGGCCCGGCCTGGCACAGTGCCTCTAAGTCATGATTATTAATGTTCTCAGCTCATGTATTTACGGAGGGTGGCACCCGGGCTCCGGGCCCGAGGTGGGTCACCTGGTTCTCACACCCGAGGTAAACTTTGCTTCAGGTTACCCAAGTTACCCAGGCAACCTGTGGTGTACATGTGTGTGTACTCAGACCAGGCAGCCTGTGGTGTACATGTGTGTGTACTCAGACCAGGCAACCTGTGGTGTACATGTGTGTGTACTCAGACCAGGCAGCCTGTGGTGTACATGTGTGTGTACTCAGACCAGGCAACCTGTGGTGTACATGTGTGTGTACTCAGACCAGGCAACCTGTGGTGTACATGTGTGTGTACTCAGACCAGGCAACCTGTGGTGTACATGTGTGTGTACTCAGACCAGGCAGCCTGTGGTGTACATGTGTGTGTACTCAGACCAGGCAACCTGTGGTGTACATGTGTGTGTACTCAGACCAGGCAACCTGTGGTGTACATGTGTGTACTCAGACCAGGCAACCTGTGGTGTACATGTGTGTGTACTCAGACCAGGCAGCCTGTGGTGTACATGTGTGTGTACTCAGACCAGGCAACCTGTGGTGTACATGTGTGTACTCAGACCAGGCAACCTGTGGTGTACATGTGTGTACTCAGACCAGGCAGCCTGTGGTGTACATGTGTGTGTACTCAGACCAGGCAACCTGTGGTGTACATGTGTGTACTCAGACCAGGCAACCTGTGGTGTACATGTGTGTACTCAGACCAGGCAGCCTGTGGTGTACATGTGTGTGTACTCAGACCAGGCAACCTGTGGTGTACATGTGTGTACTCAGACCAGGCAACCTGTGGTGTACATGTGTGTACTCAGACCAGGCAACCTGTGGTGTACATGTGTGTGTACTCAGACCAGGCAACCTGTGGTGTACATGTGTGTACTCAGACCAGGCAACCTGTGGTGTACATGTGTGTACTCAGACCAGGCAGCCTGTGGTGTACATGTGTGTGTACTCAGACCAGGCAGCCTGTAGTGTACATGTGTGTGTACTCAGACCAGGCAGCCTGTGGTGTACATGTGTGTGTACTCAGACCAGGCAACCTGTGGTGTACATGTGTGTGTACTCAGACCAGGCAGCCTGTGGTGTACATGTGTGTGTACTCAGACCAGGCAACCTGTGGTGTACATGTGTGTACTCAGACCAGGCAACCTGTGGTGTACATGTGTGTGTACTCAGACCAGGCAGCCTGTGGTGTACATGTGTGTGTACTCAGACCAGGCAGCCTGTAGTGTACATGTGTGTGTACTCAGACCAGGCAGCCTGTGGTGTACATGTGTGTGTACTCAGACCAGGCAACCTGTGGTGTACATGTGTGTGTACTCAGACCAGGCAGCCTGTGGTGTACATGTGTGTGTACTCAGACCAGGCAGCCTGTAGTGTACATGTGTGTACTCAGACCAGGCAGCCTGTGGTGTACATGTGTGTGTACTCAGACCAGGCAGCCTGTGGTGTACATGTGTGTACTCAGACCAGGCAGCCTGTGGTGTACATGTGTGTACTCAAACCAGGCAGCCTGTGGTGTACATGTGTGTACTCAAACCAGGCAGCCTGTGGTGTACATGTGTGTGTACTCAGACCAGGCAGCCTGTGGTGTACATGTGTGTACTCAAACCAGGCAGCCTGTGGTGTACATGTGTGTGTACTCAGACCAGGCAGCCTGTGGTGTACATGTGTGTACTCAGACCAGGCAGCCTGTAGTATACAAGTGTGTGTACATTTATCCCATTACTGTTCTAACTTGTACGTTGACTCTGACACTGGCAGAATTATAAAGGTGGAGACGAGACCTTCCTGGCCGTGGCAAGGACCTCAATTTCTCACGGATGGAAGAGTTCAAAACTTCCCAGACTCCCGGGGCTCGTGTGACGTATTGGGACGGCTTCACAGCCTTCCTCCCCGGGCACACACTCAAGCTTTATGAGAGGTAGGGAGTGATGGGTAGGGAGGGGGGGGGGAAGGAGTAAGGTGTGTGTGTGTGTTAGGTCACAGGGTGTAGCACCCTACACAGTGTGTTAGAGAGTGCCTTAAACAAGCATAGTTTCCTACCACCCACAAGTGTGTTACGGAGGGCCGTGAGTGCCACAGGTATTTGGCACTCACTCTAGGCACTCTATGTTGGCAAGAGGGAAGAGAGGGGGTAGGAG